CCTGTTGTCAAACTGGGCTTTGTAGCCGGCGACTGGGCTTATTAGCCGGCGGGTTTTGCTGTGTAAAATTCCGTCCCAAGCTGACTTGGGCTTAATACGCGGCTGGGCTTAATAACCGGCGACTACTATAGTTAAATGGCCCAGGCACGTGTTTCGTCGGTATTCTGCCGTTGCTTGACACAGCTGCGAGGGGTCCGACTCATCAGTTAGTCCCAAGCTTTCCGTGTCTGATTTCTGTTGATATACCGGCTTCGAAAATTCAGCTTTTCAATCCCCTGAGAAATAAATTTCTGTTTGCAGTATACATTAGTATATCTAAGTTATATAGGCGTAGACCGAAATTTTAAGTGTATTTCGGTCTACGCCTATAGACCTTAGATATGCTGATGTATACCGCGAACAGAAAAATTAATTTCGCAGGAGATTAAAAAGCTGAACTCAAATGATATCCTGCCAGCAGTCGTTCGCTTCGAAAAATGCGCCGAAAAGGGAATCGAACGGTAAATAGCTGAAGCCAGGCAGGCTTAAATGCCTTCGGTCCGTCAGCAGAAGTAGTACTCCGATGCACAAAAATTAATAAGCCCTTCATATCCATCGGGGTACGGTTAACCATAATACAAGTTCGAGGCAAACTGAAAATTAAAATACTACCCCAGAAATTGAATCTGTCCCAAAGCATATTATCTTTTCACAATTTCAGGCAAATATTTGGCTGAGAAGAAGAGGACTCGACCACTGACACAATATTTTATTCACCTGACGTTTCGAGATCCGTCATCAGAGACATAATCAGATATGGAATTACTATTAGAATGTGCCCTTCCTTCACTGCGACAGACACTATTACGTACAAAATAAGAATTCCTCATACGTAAATGGCTGGCTTCTGATGGGTATAAAATACTTGCGATTTAACGGAAACACAATATAATTGTAAAGCAGAACATCTTTATGCGCAAATATTCACTGAAGATTCAAGTCAGATCACGAAGCCACGTGTTAGTTTAGCGTAACGGTCGTGAGCGTTTTAAACTGGGGGTTAGGAGGAAAACAGCGTTTTGATCTCCAGCCTTCCTGCACTAAAATCTAAAATTTATGGAATTACTAATTGAATTTCCCCCTCCTTCACTGCGACAAACACGTCTACGTAAAAAAATAAGAATTCATCATTAGTGCACGCATATTTTGGGCGATGTATAGATGAAATCTTTGCCACGTTGGATAAGAAATAAACTCGAATGAAGTGAAACAGAAAGTCAGCTTAATTTTTAACACCGAGGAGCGAACAAAATATTACCCCTTCTGTAAGTATTGCGAGTATAGCTTAAAGGTGCATTTCCTAAACCAGATAAAAGAGATAACATTCGAACTCAAAGTATGCCGTACTAATGAAAGTCCGCGTAATTGGGTTCGGCCGTGGGGAAGAGAGCAGTTTATTCAACGAATATCAACGAATGACTTATTAAGTTGCAACATCCCTCTTCGACATTAGGTTGCGTCGGCAGTTTATCACAACGCCAATGCATGCGTATTGACTGAAGCCGACCAAGTATATAGGAAGAAATGAAATTTTTTCCTGCTAGAAAAGGAAACAACAATATTAGATCTCGTTTGGCCTTTTCGTCCCTTTCATTATGACAATACGTTGAGTGTTACTACTTTCAAGTTTTTCGAGTAAATGTGAGTCCTGTTATCCTGGATTCAAAAGATCAAAGATCAGAGAGGACATCGAAGAGCATCAAGCATTGAAAGTGACCGAATTGGTTAAGCATTTTTGCGAATAAACACATAGGAGACCCTTTTTAAAAGTTGTGAATAGAACGAAAGCATAGACGTCATGTATTTACCAGACGGTCACTAGCAAAACGAGGTAGCACAATGCTTGTCAATGCTAGTTTAAGAATCCGAAAATGTAAAGTCTATCCTTCATACGAATCAGGATATATGATGCAGGCGTTACGCCTATTGATTCGGCGTAATGCTGTACGGTTAGTTTGAAAACTGTATTTTACTTAGGAACAGTAAACACTGGGTTAAAACACGGATAGTATACAAAAAGAGGGCTTTTTTCAGCAAGACTTCTCACGTTTAATCAAAACCCGCCTGTTTATGTATACGTAAAAGTTTGAATGACTATCAAAAGACAAACGCATTCTGTTATCATAAACCAAGCGCCTGGCTCTCTGCATCCATTCCGACATACTGATATAGGTTATATTAAGAAACTGGCTATCCGTGATCGATTGCGTAAAATAGGGTAAAGGATATAAACGATTTGTTTTGCAGAACGAGGCAGACGAGGCAAGAAACTCAGTGTCGTCATCGTTCAGGTTTAGACATGAGGAGTAAAATCACTATGTGTTCACAAATTAGTAATTGATGCAATTGTTTTTCTGCTGGCATTTCTTGGGTTGTTAAAAATTGCAAAACCTCGGTTGTGCAGTTAAAACACGTTTGCTTATTTCATATGACATTATCGAAAATATTCTGAGGGCAAAAAAGGAATTTGGCTGTACCGTGTGACACCTGTATTTGTAAAGTCTCAAAATGCGCATTTAGTCGTTTCATCAGCTAGTCTGACTACTGCATGAAAAAGCAGAAGGAGACATCAAAAACAATATACGGCTCAAAGACATTGTATGAGGATGGATGATAAATTAACAACGTACGATTTCTTCCAGGAGCTTAGCGGAGTCCGGAGGCCCTTCAAACTCAGAGGAAAGTTCTTTGGCTCCGCGCGGCCACACCCTAAAGGATGGTATTCGCAGTTTCACATTGTTGGATTTGAAAGACTCCTGTTTAAGCAGTCGGAAGGTGCACTTCATGGTCTTCTTGAAGGACCTTCGGCTGGAGTGCGGGCCAGCGTTGATGTGTTCATCGTCCGATTTCTCGGGCATAGTTGAAACAGGTTCAACTAGAAGGGGTAAATTGGAATGGAGATCAGAAATGCTGTTTGATATACGCTGTTTATTTCTGAACTGCTTTAGTAACCTAGTAGCACTTATTTGTTCCATGCGAGCGCAAGGTCTTTTTTAAAAGTTTTGGCTTGATTTGTAAAGGCAGGTTAATTTCAAATTCGACATGCACGTCATAAATAGGTTTTTAGCAAAAATATAAGCTGCTTTCTATAATTTATCTAGGTAAGGCGGCTAACCACTTGTCTGATAGAAACAATTGAGTCTTAAGTTGTGAGCATACGTTGGTTACTATTAACTTATACTGAAACAGCAAACGATACGCCGCTTATGCCGGCAAATCTAGGTTTGATCTTTTGATAGGTTTCAATGACCAACTAGGTATTTGTATATGTGGGCAAATGACCCATACGTAACAATTCACATTTCCTGTTACTGATTATGCGAAAGAAGGACAAACAGCGAAAAATAGTAAGACTAAAATATATAGATCAAGAAAAAATAGAAAAAAATAATATGATTTGGATATCTGTTGACTTTGTTAATAAACAATACTTACCTTATATGAAACCAAGACAGTTTCGTAAGAAGAAAATGCGATCACTGGAACAAGAGTTGTATTTGCCTGACGTTTCGGATAACATAGTCATAATCATGCTCAGATTGGGTGGAGACATGCACCCATACATGTGCATATCTCCACCCCATCTGAGCATGATTATGACTATGTTATCATCGCCTATGATTAGGGATTCCCTCGGAAATCCGAAACGTCAGAACAATAAAACTCTTGTTCCAGTGGTCGCTTTTTATGTTTCTGAACGGCTTTCTGGAACTCGCATGTTCTCTACTATTGACAGTTTCGTAATTCAGGATATTTGGTCTTGGGCACCTGTCTTTTATCAATGTTTTGGGTTTTGACAGTACAATTTCGAAGCATTTTTGGTAAAGCGATGCCAGCGGTTAACTACTATTTTCTTAATGATTGACACGGGTAAGGTAGACAAAGTGCACGGAGCATCAAACGTCTATGGAAGAGGAAATGTTCACGGCACCGGTCGCCATGTATTTGCGTTCAAAATTATATTCATCGAAAGTGCACCTAAAAATTGCATTAACCCTTTGATAATTACAGAAGGTCTTACAGCCAGATTACGTGGACATAGACCCCAATCTAATTAAAGAAAGAAATGTATGCAAAGGATCTGCTCTCACGCCACGGAGTTTGCAGTCGTGTGATTAGGCAAAACGAAGTGCCAGTTATCTTATCAATTGCTTAGTGACCTTAGCAGCTATTTAAATGGCTGTTTGTAGCCATGTTTTCATGATTAACAGCAACGCAAATAGTATCTTCGTGGGTTACGTAGATTAAAAACACAACAGAGACAGATAAATGATCATTTATTTTTAGAAGTGTACTGCTTGCATATGCATCATGCTAGGCTTTCTACGTGAAAATCAGGCGCGATTTTATGTTGGCACATTCAATATAAGCACGTGTGTCCCAAGACAAATAACGGCCATTGTCTGTCAAAGTGTTGCGTACGTACCATGCACAATATGTATAAAACCCTATAATGGCATGCCGTTTGCTCGTTTTCAGCTAAGCAAACTGTCATATGAATGCCACAGTAAAAGTATTGAAATTTATACAGTAACATGGCATTTGAGTAGTGTTTTCAATTTATGTTCCGAGTCTTGCCAAGTGTTCAACGGATATGGCTGCCGAAAGACTCAAATTTAAATTTTTACTGGATTGCCTGAGAGACAAAATATACCCTCTCACAAAGTATAATCTCGTGAATACTAAGAAGAAGGACAACCAGTTCGGTATAATAATGACAAAGGATTTAACTAAGCAAGAATCAAATGGGAGACTGTACGTTTAAAATGACTAATGGACTAGACTAGTCTAGTGTAAAGTGCAAAGCTAATTTTATTGGTTCCTTAAAACAAGAATGTTAAGTTAACTTAAAACCCATTATAGTCAAAATGATTAGGAATTGCGGGATAATTAAACCTTCGGTTACATATTTCGGGGGTTTATACAGGTCAAAAGATTTTGGGAACTTGTGCTAAAATTCTTAAACGAAATCCCCATTTGCATAAAAACATTGATTTATGGCGTTATCTTTACAAACTTCTTAAGCTTAACACTGTAAATAAACTTTGTTATGCAACTCAAGATTAAGGTTAAGAATTTAAATTAAAAGTACATTCAATTTATTTTGTGTAAAATAAATCCAAAAGTTACTAAACGCTAACTTATTGCAATATTTTTAAGTGTTTAATTTAATCGTCTTTGTATGCTATATTTTGTGTGTTAATGGAGCCATAAAACATAATTTTTGAAAAAAATGCTGCCTACTCCATCTCGGGAACAGGGAAAGCTATATTGTACAGAGCGCTGTTAATAGAATACCCTCGCTTAGTTCATTTAAACAAAAACATATGAAATGTTCTGTTATATTTAAATGCTTCGGAAACTAACAAACGTGTTGCCGATAGTAGAATACAACGCCATAAAACTCCTGAAAACACCGCAGGTTTTGCTCTGTACAGCTTTGTTTTCATTTGGCAACTTTAAATCAGTGTCGATAGCCACTGCTAATGTCGTATACCACGTTTTGATTTATACGTATGCCTACTTAGTGTTAATTTCTGCCAAGAAATACAAATTATCTCCGCATAAATAACTTAACGGCCATGATATCTTTTCCTGGGTTTTGCAACGCGGGCAAATGACTCTCACCTTTGTATTCAGTTTGTCAGCACTCTGAACGCCACTTTCGTTTACTTAGTAACCAGACAAGTTAGAATTGAGCTAAGAAGGACAAGTTCAACCGATTCATCTCATTGAGTCAAATGATCCATCGCGGTAAGTGTCATCGAGAATT